ATCCAAATAAGGGATCAGGGAAAAAGTAATTATAATAAAGTAAAAATCAAAATCAACAGGCAGCTATAAACCAGACATTCTGCAGCGGGGGAGGAGGGAGTTGGATCAAAACGGGTGGGAAGAGCACAAGGGACTATAGTGATGGTACACGGGTGAATTGGTGGTGGGAATTCCATGGGGGCTATACCCAAGATGATAAAGCATACATTTTATAAAAATGAAGGATGATGTAAAAAATATATAAAATTAAATTTTAAAAAATAAAATGCAATTGAACATTGAAGTCTACAGGTAAAATTCTCTGGAGTAGTGCCTGCTTGGGTGTTTCCTTGCCTTCTGACCATCTATTCAAATGATCAAGGGACAGATACCTGACGTAAGGTGCATTTAAAAGTTGTTCACAATTTGGAACATTAAACTTAAACTGGGAGATACAGAGAAAAGATCTGGACTTAAATCTGCTAGCAGTAGAGCCCAGAGAAAACATTAAGGAGTTTCTATAGTAATCCCAGAAACTGTCATTTCTTCAGTTTTGGATTTCAGCTCTATTTTAGATTGCATGAACCCATGTATTTTTCCAACAGATGTCTTGTGCTTAAGTTAGCTGGAATTGGCTTTTGGGTTGCTTGCAAGCAAAAAAATTATATGACATTTTGAGGTCAATTTCATCTCTCATTTTGATTCTCAATCAAATGTGTCATATTTTGTAGACAAGTTGCAGTGGTGAATGAGATGAACATGATTTCTGTTTCATGGAGCTTTCAGTCTAGCAAAGAAATGAGATACTGATAAAGTAATTAATGTATGGAAATGGGAGGGTTTCATCTGTTTATCAAATATTTTTTGAGCATATATAACACAAGAAGACTGTTCTAGGCCTTTGTAATATTCAGTAAAATGAAGATCTCTATCCTTGTACTTTTTTAGCCAGGGCTAAAACAATATGTTATAAACATGAAACACGTAAGCACTGTGGATCTAGAAGGTGATAAGTGCTTTGGGGAAAAATAATAAACATTAATTTAATGAAATAGTATATCAAAAGGCCTGGAGGTTAGAGAGAAATAATAAATTGGAGAAACTGCAAGGTATTTAAAGCTGAAATATTGACAACAAAGTCAGTGGCTCAAAATGAAGATGAAGAAATTAGCCAAAATAGATTGTTAAGGACTTTATAGGCAATTTTGAAGATTTTGAACTTTATCGTAAGGCAATTCAAAGCCACTTGGGAATTTTATTTTTTTTTATTTTTTTTTTTAAAGATTTATTTATTTATTATTTATACAAGCACTGGGTACAGTCAGAAGCGCGGGAGGGTGAGAGAATCCACCAGAGCCAGAGCAGGGAGCAGAGCAGGCAGAAGGACCGAAGTACACTGCTGAGGGGAGCAGCGGGCAGCAGGAGAGGTCTGCGCGTCATGTGGGACCCTCCTCCGGTGGCCGGGGAGCAGCTGGGGATCGAACCGGCGCTGCAGAGGCTTCAGGCAGCTTCGCAACCCAGCACTCAACCGCTGCGCCACCGGGGAGGCCCCATTTGGGAATTTTAAGCTATAGACTAACATGATTCGATTTGCATTTTAAATTTATCCTTCTTCCTGCAACTTGAAAAACACATTGTTGTGGATGGAAGAAAATAATTAGGAGGTTTTATTCCAGTCCAAGTAAGAAATGGTGATGCCCTTGACTAGTGTTTCAGGAATTGTAAAATGTAGCTGTATTAAATTGGCTGTTACAGAGTTTAGACTTTCAGCTTTTGATATTTAGAATAAATTAATACCTGTCCCTCTTTATGTTCTGTTCTTTGGACTTTGATGCTATATAAAGTTAATTAAAATTTGCAGCACTTTTCATTGGTTTTGTATTTTCCAAATTTATTATGCCATATCTGTAGGAACGAGACTAGAGTATGTGGGTATTTAAGAAGCAATGGCAGCCATGGGACAAGAATTTATTCTGCTCACTTTGATCTGTATCTAGCCAGCCACATATTAGCTTTCTCAAATTCTGAAAGAGCCAAACTTGCTACAAGCAAACCAAAATTATATACAACTCATTTATTAACAGTATCTTTTCCCTAAATTATTATATTCTTTTCTTTCCTAGTGAGATAGTGTAGATGACATGGAAGAAAAGTACATGCTCCCTTTAACATTCAACTGTTAAGTGTAGATCAAGGATTATATACTGGGTCATTTAGTCCTCATAAATTGTTATGACATTTTGTTATGCTCGCAAAATATATTTTTTAAAGATTTATTTTATTTATGTATACAAGAACTGGGGTGTAAACCAGAGGTGCCCAGGGTGTGAGAGGATTTGGCAGAGACAGAGTGGGGAGTAGAACAGGCAGATCTACTCAAATACACTGCTGAGGGGAGCCGTGGGCGAGACAGTAGAGGTCTGCTGTGCCATGTGGGTTAGCCCCCGGGCCAGGGATTGAACTCATGTGGGAGTCAAACTCATACCGCAGATAGTACTAGTCTTTAACCCCTGCGCCACCAGAGAGGCTCCTCACATAATATTTTTTTTAGTGCAGTGAAACTAGGCAGGTGTCATGCTTTGTCAATGAACAATAAAGTTAGTACTTAACGAGTTTCATAAGTATAGGTAAGGTTATGCTCTGCCCACCCCTCACTCAGTAATTATTTGAATTTTTGATTTACAGTTTACATATTAATTCTGCTCTAAGCTAGACCCAGTAGAAGCCTGGGTCTAGCTCAGGCTTCTGCTGTTCCAAGATCTAGGTACAAATTATCAATACATCCAACTTCAGCTCCATTGCTTCAAGTCTTACCAGTTCCAAATGTAATAATTAAGGGGGAAAAGAGACCTTTCATTTCCTTATCATTCCTCCAAAATTTCCATTCTTGTTTCCAAGGAAGTAAGAAAGAGAAGCATGTCAAATCCCATATTTTGCCATGCTGAGAAATGGATCTCTGTGGCCCATGATTCCTGAAAAATCTGCCTTTCCTAAGGAAACTAGAGAAGAAGGCATAAGAGAAGTGGAGCTTAAGAAGGATAAGGTTTTTAATTGTTCCCATTACAATATCTTATTATTAAAATGTACTTTTTATACATGGGTTTCCATCTTATATTACTTTGTATCTTGGAGTCTCTCCCTCATGAATTACTTTGCATCTTGTTTGAAGTGAACCATTTTAAAATTTATATTGTGTCCTACTTTTATTTCAAGAACTTTACTTAAAATATCTTTTTTCCTCTTCACCCTACTCAGATATGCATGAACATTTTATGCATTTCACACTCTAAGATGAAGAAAGTAATATGCTAATCTGACTAGTGGTAAAGTCAAAGTTAGAATAGAGATAGATTTTTTGTTCTCAAAGGGTAAATAATGCTTTAGTTTCATATTGCTATAATTCATATTACTAATGTAAATGAAGTGACAGATATATGTAAATAAAATGATGCAGTAGAACATGAATTTGATAGCCTTTTCAATTTGATAGAGCCCAGAATAGTGGATGCTTGCTCCTTGAAGGCAGGTACTTCCTACTCCACTCAGGGTGTCAAACATCTGTGTAACAGTACTCAAAAAGTGCTTAGATGAGTGGAGTAAATTGAAATTAATAATATTTATGAGACATCTAATACTATACTTAATTTTATGTAGGTGAGTCTCCAGGCCTAGTATGTAGATAGATACACCCTAGAAAGGAATATGGTAGAAAGGAGAGGGAGTAAGGAAAGAGAGCAGACAAGAAATTAGAAAAATGGCCTCTAATTTGAGATACATCAAAATCACCTGGGAGTCTTCATAAAGCAGGGTGCAGGGCCCTCCCCCATGGAGGATTCTGTTTCTGTAGATCTGGGGTGGGAACTGAGAATTTGCATTTCCCTCCCAAGTGATGTTAATGGTGGCAATCCAAGTATTCCACTTTGAAAAATATTAATTAGAGTTTGGAGAGCTGATTTAGCTAAGGGGGACTATACAGGCTGCTTGCTTTGTGATCAGCACAGAGAAGCTATGACTTCAGAGATTTGGGGGAACAGTACTTCCATAATGTAACCAAATAGACATCACAATAGTTTATCAGTCTTGCTTCTTCTGGATGACTAGACTGGCCAGAATAGGAGAAAAGAGCTTCGAGAGCTCAAGTGAGGGTTAAGATGAACTGACATAAATAAGATGGAAAGTGGAGTACATGGAATTGACTTACTACTTCATTAAGTTAACCTAACATAGCAGTGTAAGACCGTGTGTGTGTGCATGTGTGTGTGTGTGTATGTTAATTTATATAAAGTTTATTTCTGAAAATATCCTTACACTGCAAAGAAAGTTTAGCTGACTGTTCATATGTCAGGATAAGTGAAGAAGGTGAAGAAAGGACAGCTACAAGAGAGGAAATAGCCCATTAATCGTAGAGAGAAAGCATGCCTGCTCCTCAGCCTTCCCACTCAATCAGTGGAATCTCCTAGGTAAATAGGCTTCGGAAGTTTTTGAAATTGTGACCATAGCTTCAGCACCCACATTACTTGGATGCACATTCCAGCTTTTGGCAGTTTTGAAATGGACACTACCTAAAATTTGGAGCTGATTTTATGTGCTTTGTTGTGCTCAGTTAATTAGATTTCTTGCATTTTAAATCGAATATAAAGTTTTTGTATGCTTATCTATGTTCCTTACAGATGAGTGTTACACAAGGCAGTCATCATTTAGGACTATGGGTGTTATTGGCATTAATTTTTGTTTTAATTTCATGAACTCAGATACTTTTTTTTTTCAATTTACTAACAAAAAGAGATAAAATTATTACATGGAAATGAACTGTCTGAAAAAATGGATACATTTTGATACCAAATGGTCAAATGCTCATATTTAATTTTGTTAATATGAAAATAAAGCTGTGTAGTGATACTTTCAAGGGAAAGCTCAGCTCATGTATTTTAAAAAAATACATAAAAATGACTCTGGAGACCTTGGCTACACATTCAGCGGTCAAATATTTCAATGCTTCATTGCTCCCGTTCCTGTTACAGGTACATGTGACAGCACTGCAGCTATGAGTGGAATTTTAAAGAGGAAGTTTGAAGAAGTTGACGGCTCTTCACCCTGCTCCTCAGTGCGGGAATCAGATGATGAAGTTTCCAGCAGTGAAAGTGCTGACAGTGGGGACAGTGTCAATCCATCCACTTCTAATCATTTTCCCCGTGAGTATGGAAACCATATCTAAAGCTGATTGTGTGGTTCTACAGAGAAAGTAGTTGTATCATCTTGGACAATGCCTTTAACATTTATTACTAATGGTGTGTTTGTGTGTGGGTGGGTGTATCTGTGTGTGTTTAAACTGAACTAAAAGCAAAACATAAGTAAAAATGAAATATATTTTAGGCAATTGATTGAATTCTTTAATTTGCTTCTGTCAGTAAATTTTTTGATCTTGTTAACCAAATGATTCCAGAAAAAAAAAAAAAAGGACATTTTATTATTATTACTTTTCTAAGGAATCAACTTTCTCTGAGAGTAGATGGAGAAGGACAGGGATTAAGGTCAGGCCAAAAAAAAATTATTCTCTCATAACTGAAATGATATTCTGGGAAGGAAAAAAAGAGGAGTGTATTTGAAAGTGGAAGGTCTAAGTTATGAAGGTTATGATGAAAAAGAGCTTAGTAGACCATGCTTAAGAGATGAAAAGCAACGAAACTCTCTCCCATGTACAAGTGTGTGCAGGTTACACCTATTTTCTGTTCATTCTGTTCTTTTATTATCTCATCCCCAAGGATAACATTTAAAGCCCACAAAGAAAAAAAGATTTTTTCTTTCTCTTTGATTCTTTTTTCTGCCACACCATAACATCAGCCCTTCCTATCAGGCAAGGTATTATGAGGTCTGAAGAAGTAATGAGAAAAATTCTTAAGGTAATAAAATCTGAAAGTTAAAAGAAACTGAGTAGTAATAAGTATATGTTGAGTTTATGTTTCCAATAGGAATATTTTAATATATCACATCATGATGGATAACTAGTCTTGGTTGGTTTCCATTTTTAATTAAGTAACTAATTTTATTAATATATGACTCTTAAACATAGAATTTATTCTGGAATTGTGATAATTTAGAAAGCGAAAATTAGTAACCAGAGTAATAAGAAACTAAATAAAACTGTTCAACCTGAAACAAATGTACTACAATCAACAACAAAACTAATAAAATATATAATGGAAGGGTACTTATAATTATTATAGCAGAAAAAAATCATAATCTATTCAGGGATGATGTTATTGTAATGGAGGTGATCTATAAATGCATTTATAAATATAACGATAGGAAATAAGACTTCTGCCTTGATATTAAGTGTTTACCTATTTGGACTTAATGTTAATAGTGATTGCAGCAAAAACACCATTATCATTGAACATAAACATTATCATTGAAGATAAACAGTGCAAGTAAGATAGTACACATGAAAGAACACTGTCAGATGTCAAGCACTAAGCACATGCTATATTAAAAATATGCATGCTATACTTGAATAGTTTCAAAAACATTTCTATCATTTCTATTCTTCACGTAAATCTGAAATACCACCACCTTCAATTTATAGAGGGAGTAATTGAGGCTTCTGGAGGTCAGTATCTTGCTCAAGCCCATATAGAATTTGAGTCTAGCTATGAACACGTGTCTGCTACTCCTTAGTCCTCACCTTTTGGTTCTGTCATTTTCTTTGTTTAGTATGTAACACAGGGCATATCTTTAAAATGTTAATAAAAGAAAACTTGAACTAGTGAATAACAGGTGATGTTTCTGAATATAAAGATAAAGCTCTTAAAACATTCTACATTTAGTTTGTACATAATAAAGGTATAAGCTCAATAAAATATAAAATGATAAAGATGTATTTAGATAAATAAGCTAATATGAAAAAAGGGATTTTTTTTAAAGATTTATTTATTTATACATACAAGAGCTGGGGCACTGGCCAGAGAAGCTGGGGGTAAGAGGATCCACCAGAGACAGAGTAGGGAACAGAAAAGGCAGATGGACTGAAATACACTGCTGAGGGGAGCAGCGGGCAAGACAGGAGAGGTCTCCCTTGCCATGTGGGTTTCTCCCTGGCCGGCCGGGGATTGAAATCATGCTGCAGAGGCTGTGGATTGCTTCATAGTGAGGTGCTTAACCCCTTGCGCCACCAGGGAGACCCAAAAAAGAGATATTTTTAAAAGAAATTATAAATACTGACAAAGCCATTCCAGACACCAAGTCATAGTAGCAAATTACATAATTTAAACTGGTTAGGTGGTAGGTCTTGGAAAATAAAAAAAAAAAAAAATCACAACATGCTGTACACATGAATTTAAAATAAATAAGAATAAAACATTATAAAATAATTTGAAAGGGAAGGAATGTTCACTAAAAGGTTGTGGTATTAGCAACTTTGAAAAAGAAGTAATTTAGATCCACTTCTCATAATATATGCAAAATACATTCAACATGGATTAAATAGATTGATTTAAAAAAATTCAAATTGAAGGGGGAGTTGCCTATTTGTCAGACATTAGTAGGAATATTACCTAAGCTTTAAAGTAACAGAAAAAAATCACATTGAAAAACATATTTAACAATGTAAAAAGATGAACTGCTACCAAAAAAATTAAAAAATAAAAGTAAAACAATGTATATTGGAAAAAAAATAGTTGCAGTTAGTATGGCACCAGTTTATTTTCGAAATAGCATAAAAACACATGCAAATTTTTGAGATAAACACCCTCCTCTAGGATAATCCACATAATTAGGAAATATGATCAGAAAATATTTTAAATCATCTAATGATAGTGATAACAACACAGATTAAAACAATACTAATGAGGTTTCATTTGTATGACATCAGAAATTTCTGCTTGATAAAATTGGTAATCCTCTCTCTAATAAGAAAATACCAATACCTGAGTGTTGGTGAATGTCACAGCACAAAACATAGGTATATATGTGGCTGTTAATAACAGAGAAATTGTAAAAGCACATTGGAAATATAAGAGTCATAATATTAATTATGAGCCATTAATTAATTAAGAGTCATTAATATTCACATCTGTATGTTTCTACTTCAGAGAATTTATATGAAGGGGGAGTATTCAAAAATAAAAGAAAACTGCGTAAATGTAAAGGTTGGTGGTTAGTGGTAGTACCAAAAGATGTCAGAGGACGGTAACATGTCTAAGAGTGAAGAAATGATGCATTAAGTTATGGTAACTTACACAATTAATTTGTTTTATGATAGTTATGTAGACTTTATGGCAATATGTAAAATGCTTATGAGATAATGTTAGGAAAAGCACAATACAAAACTTTACTAGTCAGGAAAGTCTTGGTATATTAAGAAGGAAAAAAAAATACTCAGGTGTCCTAAAAATTGAAAACAATGTGATTTGTTGAATTGCTAGAATGATAGATTAATTTTCATATGTATTAATTTTTATTTCTGTTAATTTATGTATCACAAAATAAGTTTTTAAATTTAAACTAAAATGATAACTAGTTCAGACTGTTTTGGTCTGAAGACAGCATATTGAAATGCCATGATCAGCTAAATCATGCTACACTTCTGCCAAGTGGTAAAAATTTTTTTAGTTATGTGCAAGGAATCAGTTTTCCCATTGAAGAAAACAGATATAACTAATGATGTCCAAGAAATTATTGAAATGTCTCAGCTCATTATTTAATATGGTAGTTGGCAATGGTTAGTTTACTAAATTGATGATTTAATTTTGTTTTAAATGAATTCTGGCAGAGGTTTTTTTCATGATTTTAAAAGATAATCACATGAGTGACTTAAGAAAATATGCAGTTTTTGTTTAATGGTCTGTTAAGTTTACCATATTCATATTTTGGTGAGGGAGAAAAATTGGAAGGGAAAAAAATCAACAAACAAAACTTCTACCTAGAATACTTAACTGTATAAAAGATCTGTGCATTTGACCAATGTAGTTCATAGGGTTTCTTGTTTCTAGAAACGTATGCAAATGATTTGGTAGCCCAAAAATTGATATACAAATGTTTAAGAAATTTTTTTTGTTGTTAATTCCTCTAGAGGAAAGCTTGGTCTTATCTGCAGTGGTTTTGTGTGCATGTGAATCTGTGGTTAGAAACATTTGGAACTGTTATTGTTGATAATTTTGATTTCTTTATCATTTTTTTACTTTTGAAAAATAACAAAGATTACCTGTGTTAGAGTAAAGAGGGATTTTTGATGACTATCAAATGTGCGTAGCATTTGGAAACCAAATTTAGTTTCACATTGAGAGTTTTTTAAAATACGGTTATTTAAATCTCACTCATCATGAGCTCATCTTTCAAATTTAAAATATCACATGTACTCAGTGCTTTATAAGCACTAACATATTGTGTAACAGCATTTTGTTATCATTACAAATATAGGAATTGATAGGATTATTTGGTGCATATCAGCAGCTGTAGCAATACAAAATACCATGCTATTCTGAGCCCTCTGTAAAAATATTCCATTTGCAGCACATCACATTGTGAAAGAAAAGTTTCAAAATTAAATCAGTAAGAGCATTATGCCTTTTTCCTTGGGCTTTTGAGTTTGGCTCAGCTACTAGCACACTTACCAATAATCAACCAAGGTCATATCTTGTACTTCCCTTGCGATAGAAGCAGCTGGATTCTGCATTGCTGTGGAAAGCTTTGTTTCATCAAATCCCTGTGGCTCTATAGCCAATCTGCCTGTACTTGAGTGCTGTCAAAAGGAGAGCTACAGAGAAACTAGAGAGGAATGATTTCTTTCTGTTCTCTCAAGGTTCTTGGCACTTCACATGAGTAATGAGAAGCTGTGTGATGAAACGTCCTCCTAAAAGGAACACATTATTTTCTCTAACAGAGTATTTCTACAGATAAATGTTCAGTATTTAGGAAGTGAAAATATAAAGAGGTCAAGGGATAGATATTTTAAATTGCACATAAAGGCATGTAGTAGATATCTGACGTAAGAATAAGATATTCAGGAAAAGTTGAGATTATAATTTGTTTCCTTCCCTCCATCTTTCCTTTCTTACTTCCTTCCCTTTTTTCTCTGAATACACACAGTATAAATATACTACTGTGGACTACTAAGTTGGAGTATTTTACTAGGGTCATTCCCCTTCCACTGCCTACCAATTTCTTCATGAGAGTAAAGAATCAATAGAAGACAGAT